TGGCGATACTCACTGACGATGCCGACTACGATGCCGGCGAAACGTTTGGGAATGTACCACGTCTACGGTTCAACTTTGGAAATGATCATGCAGACAACCCCCGGACTAGGTGCGTTCCAATAAGTCTTCCTACCAATATGACCATGTTGCGAAAACAAGGTCAAACAATCACGTTCCAATAAGTCTTCCTACCAATATGACCATGTTGCGAAAACAAGGTCAAACAACCTCTTTAAATAACTTATTGCGTTCTGTATCATAGGTCTCACTTAGTTTCAGAATAGAAGCCTGGTGAAGATACTCATTAACCTTATCCGATTAGTAGGGTCTCTTAAGGTCACATGACTTAGGATGACTTGCTCAGATAACATGGGTCTAATCAAGAAGAGGATCCGTGAAGGGAAGGCCTGATATCTGCAAGCATGACAATCAGAGCTTAGGCGTTCTGCTCAGTGAAACGGCAGTGTACATGCTTCTAGGGCTTTGCGAAATGGCGCCTGGAGTAAAATGCAATCTGGGACTGGAACAGAGTGAAATCGGTCAACAAGAAATATAAGGAACGTATTTATGAGGCAACGAGGGGATCCGGAGTGTAGGCCCGAGTCGGATCAGCCGATTGAAAGATAAGGGGTCTGGGTAAATAGCAGGTGTGATGAGGCCACACTAGATTTGCTACAAAAGGGCACCCATTTTGACGAGCGGAATGTAAACAAGTGAGAAGTTGTGATATTGCGGCAGTAGGATAAGAGGGTAAAAAGTAATTAGATAGGCCAGGACAGAAAGAGGAGTGATAGTTTAACCGTTTTCAGGAGAATGTTTTTCGATGGATTGACTTCACTTGTCTCTTTGACGAGTTCGTATCTTGGTGCGGAGAATAGCAAAACTCACTGATGATGTCGACTATGATGCCGGCATAGCGTTTGAGAATGTACCAAGTCCACTGTCAGATGCTGGGAATCATGACAACTACTATGGCAGACGACTTCAGACTAGGTGGGTTCTACATAGTCGCCCTGACAACAAGACCAAGTTGGGACAACGAGGTCAACCCACTTCTATAAATCGAAAGGAGACTGTGACCATACTAGAGGCTACAACATCTTGGTCTTCATATACTATTCTAGCTTATCTATGAATTTCATTATAACTTGCTTTGGAATCTGGAGCAAACTGCATTCCCAAATTTGCTTTGGTTTAGTTATTTTCATGGTCACCATGGAGCCCAGAATAATTCGGCCAAAAATTAGGAAGCCCAGGCACAACGACTCACAACTTTATTGTGATTCCGTAATTCTAGTATTGCCACCTAAATATGAACTTTAGTCATCTTTGCTTGCCTAAGATGTTATTGGTTCAATGATAGAATTTCCTTCTATGAAAAAAGCAGACTTTAGGGTGAAGTTGAATTAATGACGGTATTCTTTTTGGTGTTGAGAATTACCGCTGCTTTCGAAGCATGCGCAATCCTAAATATGTTTGGCCACATTTTTCCAACTTTGTTGTATTGTCAGGGAGGTTTAGAGGGACCTAGAATGTACCAAGCCTACGGTCCGACGCTGGAAATTATCATGGATCTTATGGCAGAAGACTCAGGATAAGGTGTGTTCATCGAGATCTCTTATGGCAATACAAAAAAGTTGCAAAAACGCGGTCAAACTGCTTGTATACAGAGTAAGGATAACGCTTCTATTCCAAAGGCCACACCAACTTGGTATTCACAATTTCGATTAAAACTAATTAGGATAATTTTGAAAACTTAAAAATGGGCCTGAATTTGCCAAAGAATTTGGCTGTCTCATATCTCATTCAAAGCCGTCTCTCATTAGGTTTTTTACCACATTTGGCAGAATTTTACCGCATTCTCAAGGCAGCTTGACCATATATTTATTATTCTATACATCAGGGATGATTTTGATCACAAGACAGGTTTGATTCAAATAACTTTCGAGGTGGGGCTAAGTGCTGCAGTGCTAAAAATTATTTTGTTTTACATTCAATAGCATGCAAAAGCCTCCAGATTAGAGAAACCGAGGTTTCCTCTCTGCCTCAAAAAAAATTTGGGCATAGTGAAAGAGATTTAAAATGAACCGGTTTATCCGAAGCCCATATTGGGTTTGGTTGAAAATGCTTGAAGGGGATATTAATTCGCTTATTCGGAATTGCATTTGAGAGCACACTGAATCTCATTTAGGATGCAATATTCAGCGAAGTCCTCCGTCATAAACAATTCGTGGCTATATCAACTTTTAAGACATACATTGTTTTTCGATAAATGGAGTTCATACACTCATAAAGCTAGGCTACCTGACAGCTTAGGCAACGTAAAGGAAATATATGCGCACATCACCGTCGCTTTTATAATTCCGATATGGAAAAGATTGACCAGGACTGAGTTTACTATTAAAGTCGTCGATGCTACTGAGGTTCTGATGGTGACCTCTTGAATATTACTCCCGACTGGCCAGAAAAACCCACTGATGAGGAGACTAAGCTATACGATATAGATTTAATATTGCATATTGTAATTTGAAAGAGACAAGCCAGAAATTTATCAATTTATAAAAAAAACGCCATCTCATTGCATAAACTTATTTTTGGCATATATATTCTTAACATTCTCACACCGAAATTAGGCTATCGACAATTATAATGGAAAGTACATATTTTACTCAGCGATAATCCAACAAGTTCATATCTACTCTATGACACATCAGCACACGTACCTGTGTAGTGAAGATGCAACTTGTCGCCACAATGTGTGTGGTCCGGTTTCGAGTCCCGTTGAGAAGCTGATGAGACTTAGGTGAGGTGGAAACCGCGATCCAGCTCGGATGTAAAAACGTTTTTAAGACTAGAACTAGTTGAATTCCAATTTGAATCATATGACTAAGATAAAATTCCACTATCAGTCTTTACAATCACCCTAAGCGACTAAGGGCGACTTGGTTCACAAACACAGATTTAGCTAGATATTCGAACCCTAAATTCTTAAAGAGCTGTATTCACCATAGTTGGCATACGATGATTAAGGACTGATAGTCGAATTTTCAGACAATCATATGAGCAGGCCTTAAGTCCTTGTTGAATTTCACATAGCCGAGCTACTCAAAAGGAGTAGACTACAGATCCGATATGGTCTAAGTCTCATCATGTTACCACTTTGCCACATTGCCAAGGGTGTTAGTATTTATATGTGATATAGAAAAAACCTGGGTATCCTTGAAATTTATGTGTCACTTGAACCAACGATATCAGTTATGAAAACTACTAAAAAAGATAAATGTGATCGAGTAGATTGGCAGACACAAATTTGCTTCATCGACAATCTCACTATAAAATGTGAAGCAGAAGATGCTTGGCTGGCCTGTGATTCAATAAATTAGTTTCGAAAATTATTCAAACGGAATGTGAATCTTAGAAGTCACATAAAGCTTCCATTCCCTCTTTTTAAACAATGATTTATCCCCCCTTTTTTATTCCATTATTCCCTCTAATTGTACAGGCGTTCGGCCCTACAAATGCACTGATTGCGGCAAAGCCTTTACTCAGCGATGCTCACTTGAATCCCATAGCCGTAAAGTGCATGGTCGGCCACTCCCTTATGCCTATAAGGAACGCCGTGCAAAGCTTTATATCTGCGAGGAGTGCGGTTTTAACACTCTGGAGCCTGACGTATTCTGTGCTCATACACGAACCACTCACAAACTGCCAATATCACCAGCACCCCCATCGTCACCTCCACCGTCACCGTCACCGTCTTCGCCGTCGCTGCATCTACCGCCTCCTAATTCAGCGTCGAGATGTCAATTAACTTCCTGCTCCCCTACTTTGCCTCCGTCACTACCTCTCCCGCTGCCCCCAGCTCTTCCTCTGCCTCTACCACGGTCCTCCCTTCCTGTTTTGGGGGTTCCGGGATTGATGGATAATCATTATCAGACATCACTTCGACACGATGTGGAGCCAGTGAATGATAACATGGAAGGTTGCTTTGCCCTCTCCAGCCTCCGAAGCAGGTCGTCATCTGGAGAATTGGGCGCAACATCCATCTTTCATTGTTACAGAACTCCACAATTTCATGAACACATGCGGTCGAAGCGCCACAATTCCAAGGGCTTCTGTCCTCTACATGTTGGTCTAGATCGTCAAAATACATTAGAAAGCATGTCTTCAATCTCCAAGCACCAGCAGCTCTTAGAAGAGCACTCAAAGCCCCTATCGCCGGTATACCCCAGCCAGGCTGACAAAGATTGTCACTTGCAATCTGAACCGTTTTTGCAATATAGACAGCCTCTGCACTCGTCACAACTGCCGTTGCCACCAACATTATTAGAGCATTTAGCCCTGCAGCAGCAGCTCCAAAAATGCCTTGATACGTCAGATATACCATTATACACATGAAAAAGATACCCACTTACGAATATATCTACTAACCTTTAAAGTATTTCTATTGCTACACTACTTCATATTCAAATGCACAATTTCCACTGTGAGTAGCCCCAAATTAATTGTGATGGTGCCCTTTTGGTCAAACCCATACTTATGCATGGACAACAAGATCAGTGCTCTAAGAATAGCCAGTTTTAGGGAAAATAACCTTGGATATTGTATCCTATGATGGGCCAGCTGACAGCAGAGTTAATTTTAATAAACAAGACGACTAAGTAGGAAATAAGTAGTGAGATTCTCTTCCTCATCATCGCTGTGGCCATTTTACTGGGAAATATACGTTAAAGTTCGCCTATTTTACCTAGATAAAGGTTCCTGAGCTGTGAATGCATTTCCCTAGGAAAATTCTTGCTCATAGGCAAAGCAATACAGGTGAATCTGTGCAAAGGCATTTCTTGAGGGCACAAGGAACATCTTACCATTCCTAAAATTACGCATATCTTCAATAAATCCCAAGAGTTTATTAAGAGTCTCTAAGTATTTTCTTCTTTTATTGCAACTTCACGATTAGCTAAACTTAGGACTATTTTACTTCCTAACACAAAAGTTTTCTCGAGCATTATTTGATCAATCGAACATACATATACTGGCTGGACCAAAAATAACCTTTATCTAATCTGCTCTTGGTCTGTAACTCAGGGCAAGGCAAACGCTATGGAAGGGTCCTAAAATGTTCAAGAGGTCGCAGCCTCATTCCCCTACACATTGCTCAACAATCAGCGAAACTTTGAAACGTTCCCTGAGCTCCAGTACGGAAGTGAAATAATGCTGTGCTCAGATGCGCAGTAGTACATTTCCTTATTTTCTAAACAAATTAGTTTACAATCTACCCAGCAACGGTCCCCATCTATTTGTTTTATATCCAAAACGTGTCTCTAATAATAATTATTTATACTTTGTATATATTTATAAATATATATTTACATATACATGTTTTCAAACAATTCGCTTTCTATGTCACCAAATTTTATTAGAGTTAACTATCCTCAGCTTTGTCAGTTGGATCTGCTGGACAATTCTATTTGTCTACAAGTAGCATACAAGGGGAATCATCCAATTTTATTCAGTTTTAATTCCAAATCTAGGGTATCGAGACCACGATTTTTACTAGTGATGATATGGTGATGATATATATTAAATTCTAAACAGAAAAAGATATAACGTTAAGAGGGAAGGTCCCACCATTTTTTTGAAAATCATCAGCTTAGCTAAATATAAGTGCAATTTATATTAAAAACATGCTTTTCTTCGTATATGAATATTTGAAATGTCGAACACCTCAGAAGGAATCAAGCTGAATTTATTAAGCTAGGATGCACATAGAATTTCTAAATACCATGGGTATATTCTTTGTGTCGAGGGTCACGTGAATTATACCCCATTTATACAGTGTGTTTGACCTTGGTTTCACAACTTGGTCATATTAGCAGGAAGACCTAGAGGAACGCACCTTGTCTGGAGTCAATAGTATGCATGATCATTTCCAGAGCCGGACCGTGGACTTGGTACATTCCCAAACGTTTCGCCGGCATCGTAGTCGGCATCATCAGTGCGTTTTGCCATTCTCAATGAACCAAGCTACAACTCGTGAAAAAGAAAAGTGAAGTCAATTCCTTGACCAACTTTATGTCGAGACAGTTATTCTATCACTCCTAGTTTCGTCCTGGTCCCTTTATCCATTTCCTACCCTCTGGTCTTGCCCTCGCCCTATCACAACATCTGAAATGTACATATTCCTCAAGAGATGTGCCCTTTTGACGAATTTACCGTGGTGTCATCACACCTGCTGTTTCACTTACTCCTCTCCCCTTCGAATGGCTGATCTTGCTCTAGTCTCCTGTCCAGATCTGCCCGTAGGTCCGTTTCTTATATTTCTGGTTGACCGATTTAATTTATCTTATGTAAGTAGAGTTTCGAGACTATCAGTAAATCAGTAATATGATATGTATTCACACTATTTCGTTTAAGGTGATGAAAGACTGGTAATAGAATTTTCCCATAATGATATAGGTAGAGCTGACGTTTCCATTGAACTTCACAGAGCCTTGCTTTCGCAAAATTTGTTCTCATCCAGGATGGACTGCAGTTTCGACCTCGCATAAGTCTTATCAACACCCCCAGCGGGAGTCAAACCTTGACAGTGCAGAATGGGAGCTCGACACGTTAACCACTCGGTCACATTGCCACGAGTGCACGTGGGTCACAGGGCAGATGTGAATTTCAAGGAAGGCCAGGCCTTTTCCCATATCACATTTTTTGGTGGGATTGTCGATTACTCGAACGTATATTTGCTATACCAATCGACTACGTTACTTATCTTTCGTATGTAAGTAGAGTTTTGAGACTACAAGTAAATCAGTAATGTGAGATCTATACACACTATTTCGTTTAAGGTAGTCTCGAAACGATACTTAAATGCGAAAAATAAAGTAACGTAGTCGATTGTTATAACAAATATACGTTTGCTTCATCGACAACCCCACCAAAGAATAGAATATGACAAAAGGCCTGGCCTTCCTTGAAATTCACATCTGCCCTGTGACCCAAGAGGACTCGCGGCAATGTTGCCGAATGGTTAATGTGTCAAGCCCACATTCTGCACTGTCACGGTTCGACTCCCGCTGGGGGTGTTGATAGGACCAGTGCGAGGTTAAAACTGCAGTCCACCTCAGCCTGGGTGAGAACAGATTTTGGGAAAGCAAAGCTCTGTGAAATGCAATGGAAACGTCAGCTCTACCCATATCATTGTGGGAAAATTCTATGACAAGTCCTTCATTACCTTAAACGAAATAGCGTGAATACATCTCATATGGCTGATTTAACTCGGTTCCGCCCCCCGCGTACTTTTAAACCAAGTGCTGTTTGCCAAGCCTTCAGTAGCATGCACAAAATCGCCTTATCGTCATAGTGCCTAGGCTCTGACCGCCATGCCTACGGATATTAGGCATTACCTTCACGCATCATCTTCTCGATTAAGCCCTTGTAACCTGAGCAAACTGTGGACATCTATCTCTAGTCGCCTGCTGAATCACAAGTGGATTACTAGCCCATTTGGTTACAATGCTTGATTTTTATGACACATTCCCTCTCCTGGTCACATGAAACGCCAGGCCCCAAGTTATAATTGTTTATTCCAGCTAAGTATTCTCATTGAAATCGTCTTCGTTTCATTTTCCAGACCTCCTTACCCTCTTCTTCTTTGCGATCCCTTTTCCTCTGGTTTACGATAGATCGTTGATTTATGCGTCTCCTTTTTGCTTGTCTTGTTGCATCCCTGTCTTCGAGTTTGTTTAGGCAATAGGCAAATTTATCGCCGACTCTGTCTTCTTCCAATCTCTTGTTCATTAAATTTTTTCCCTAATCTTCCGTTTCTTCGTGCTTTCACTGTATGAGGCCCTTCTTTTTGTTGCCTTCCAATTGAGCACGTGTCCAGTATCTGCGATGTGTTTGGCTATATCTGATCTTTCAGTATCCATTTTCCTCTAGAGCATTTGATTTTCCTTGATTCGTATGCCAATTCCTCTACCAATTTCGCCAATGTATTTCTGTTCGCAGATGCCGCATGCTATGGCGTAAACTCCTGTACCATCCAATTTATCTACCCTCTCATGCTGTGTGGATAAACCTTTGAGGAGTGTTGTGTTTCCCTTCGTGGTTACCTGAATATTCCATTTTCTTAATATTGGCTGTTGATTTTGAGCTAGTTAACAGGAAGGGACACATATCCATTCTTGTGAGTCTTTCTCCATCTTTACCTTTCCTTCATAATATCCGTCCTGCCATCGACTCTTCACGGACAGAATGCTTCTATGAATTACTTCTCTCTGATATCCATTACCAAGTAATTTTATAATCATTTTTTCCTATTCTTCATATCAGAATTTCACGTCCGTTAATCATATGCTCCTGATAATCATGTTCCTTAGTATGCTTATATTCATTCTGCATTGTGATGAATTCTAAATTAAGTATTAATACGGTATATTACTTCTTTCGGAACAATTTCCTCTTGAGTGTCCCAGTAGAACAAATAACCTACACATCTAGGAAGGCCAAACGCTCCTCTGGCTCTACATCCATTGTGAATTTGATTTTTTTCATCAACACCGTTCATAAGCTTCAGGAAATCCCCCAAATTTTCTCTTATATGCGACCACATTGCAAAGTAGTCATCCAAGTATCAAATAAGAACTCTTGGTTGCAGCGGTGACACCTTGAAATTTTCTTCTAGTTTGTCTATATATACATTTGCAAATGGAGATGAGAGAGGAGAGTTGAAGGCTTGAGAAACAGCACATAGTGTAAAAGTACGCTGGGGTTGGAACCGAGTTAAATCGGCCAACCAGAAAGATAAAAAACGGACCCACAGGCCCATGAGGCAGATAAGGACATGAAACTAGAGCAAGATCAGCCACTCGAAAGGGAGGGGAGCAAGGCAAACAGCAGGGGTTTTGACACCACGGTAAATTGGCCAAAAGGGCACATCTCTTGAGGAATATAAATTAGTCCGAGGTTGTGATAGTGCGAGGGCGAGACCAGAAGGTAGGAAATGGATAGAGGGACCAGGATAAAATGAGGAGTGATAGTATAACAATCTCGACAGAAAGTTGGTCAAAAGATTGACTTCACTTGTCTCTTTCACGAGTTGTAGCTTGGTTCGCTGAGAATGACAAAACTCACTGATGATTCCGACTACGATGCCGGCGAAACGTCTGGGAATGTACCAAGTTCACGATCCGGCTCTGGAAATGAGCATGCATACTATGGACTCCGGACAAGGTGCATTCCAACAAGTCTTCCTGCTAATATGACCAAGTTGCGAAACCAAGGTCAAACAACTTTTATACAACGAAGGGAGACTGCGACCATACAAACGGCCACACCATTCTAGTCTTTATACCTTCGATTATACCCCTTTTAATTTTGAATATGAAATTACAGAAAAAGAGTTC